ATATACTTGTATCTCTTACTTCATTTACTTTTATAATTACATGTATATGTAAATAGCTAGCCTGCATATAATTTTATGACGGACTAAAATGTACATCGAGGATTACCCTTTGTCTGCAGAGGCCTTAGTATATAAACCACCGATCTTTATGAATTACCTGGAAACTTAAACTAAATTCCCATGTCATAATATACTTATAAACTACAATTAACAGACTTTAACTGACGTATGCTCATAAATTAGGTATATTTACTCAAATAGAATTATAATTACCTGTTATAAGGAAAATAAACTTTATAACCGCGAAATAAAGTGCATTATAAATTGTTTGTAATTATTAACAATTGCTAGGTAGTAGGCGTGTCTGCCCAGAGCAATTAGCTTGTGTGTATATCATTAAATTAATTTCACTTCAGTGAATTTCTAGAAGGTTAGATTTCTGAACAATGTTGGTGGTCTATTCTTGTTTTCTTGTGTTTATTTCTAACAAAATAATGAACGCGTTTCTTATAATTAATATTTATTAAAACGTTAGAGAGCTAATAACATCTAGATAGAGAATATTCTGAAAAAAACGCGTCACCGAAAATAGATCAACTTTTGTATATATTATTTTAGGTTAAATGCCTCACTCTCACCTAATAATAGTCGCGGGATCGTTTTAAGTAAATAAATATTTGTATTCATGAGAGTGTGTATTGATCTAGGTGTTCTCTATATGACAATGGAATGATAACCCCGCCTGCGCTATTGGTATACACGGGCAGGACATCAACAAGGGATGATAGTTGGCGATGAATTAGGTCAGTTAGCCCATCGTGACGAATTCAACGAGAATTGTTCACGATGGTTTCCAGGGGGAACCACGTGGAGGTTGACCTGATAGGGCATATTGCTAGCAATGGGGCTATCAAACTCCATTGCTAACAATCCCTTCCCCCCACCCTCCTCTATATGTATTTACAAAAAAGTATATAAGTTTGTATATGAATTATATAATAATCAACATACAAGCTCTATTTAATATAGGATTAGATGATAGTATGTATGTAATATATCCAGTAGTATTTACCTATTTACTTGTATGAGTAAATTCAGTAGCGTACGTGATATTGAAGTGTGTGATAGACTATTACGATTAGTCAATGTGTACTCAGTTAGTGTATTATTACACACAACTCAACATTACGTCGAAGTCGATCGTGTATAACAAAAGCGGTTCAGAAACTCTTGACACTTGAGGGCGATACCTACAGTTATTTTTATAATTAAATAAAAAAATATTTGCATTCTTGGCAGATACTTCGTCTGAGTAGATTTCACAGATAAGAAAACTAAGAAATAAATGACTTCTAGAAGGCGTATCAAAAAGAACATACACCAGATTTTAAGTTAGACCTTCAGAAAGACAATTGTAAAAACAGAATCCAATTTGATGCAGTAGTTTTTCTCTAATGCCAGAATAAACATACCGACAGACAAACACGACTGTCTCTTCGTAAAAAAATTTCTTAAATATCTTCCATGTACAGACATCGTCAATTAAAATTTTATTATATAAATACTCGTAGTAAGATACTGTCAATGAATATTAATAGTTGACTGACAGTTTTAGAGCGTTTTTTAACACCCCTCGCTCCATCTAAGTGAGAATCAAGTTCATAACATATATATATATTACTTAAATGTACTTATATATTTATTTCCAAATTAAGTATACGAGTCTGAACAATAAATCTAACTTAGCCGACAGATGTTGTAGGTACTTTGCCAGTAAATGTTAAGAGGTCGTACCTGTACAATGGTGTGCGATTTCTCGCTACGATTGGGTGTCTAGGTACTGCAGTGAGGCCAGAATTCAACCATTTAATTATTTTTAAACTAAATCTAAAAAGAGGAGTTTTTAATTCGACTGTTTTGTTAATTTAGTATATATATGTTTTAAGTAGAATCGCGTATGTTAATCGATTCTAGTGAACCATTTTAAGAGATTTAAAAAGGTAAAAAGTTTATCTATTTTTGTTTGGTTTTATTTTAATTATATGGATATTTTTTTTACCACTAAGATGGCTATTATCTTAATGGATATTATATCAATGGATAAATGTTTACTCTAGTAAGGTAAGGTAAACCTTATATTTATTTTTTGATTTTTTTAATTTGACGTTAGTCTTTATGGAAGTACAATCTTAATTATATTATAATGTATTATTTATTTTGCGCTATTCATATCCATCGTTCCAAATTTAACGTTATTAAAAATCCAATTTATAATCTATCATAATGAGCAATACAAATCACTATTTAAACAAACTGATTCTTCTTAATTATAAAAAAAAATTGAAATTAATATACTATATGTAATCATTAGAGTTAATTAAAGTTTAATAAAGTAAATAATTCATTAGTTTCTTTTTACACGCTCTGCTCTCGATTGTTGTAGATACATAAAGTATAGTGTACACTAGATGTAACCTAATGAGTAGCCGCAACATACACATGACCCACATTTCAAAAACCTGTCTATTCGTCTGTGGTATCATAGCTTCTAAATGTCAGGAATGAATTCTATTTTTTTTTTATTTATATATAAATGATTCTAATATAGTAAAGGTTAGATGAAAAAATGAAATATTTATTTCTACAATATCTACTTGTGATGTATGATTAAACGTGCCGCGTGGCATCCAATACACTCATATCTCATCATCATTTCAGCCATTATTTATCCACTGCTGAAAATAGGCCTTCCCCACAGACTGCCATAAGGAACGAACCAGAGTCACTTGTATCCACTGACTCACCGCAACTCATATCACGCTCCTACAAATATCTGATCATAAATTATACTATATTTGCTGTTGAAATTATTTCTTGGTACTTTATTAATGTTAGTTTCTTCTACAATTTAATACTCGTTGCCCCCCACAAGTGACTTGCGTGGGCGGTGGATCGGCGCGCGCGCACAATTATGTTTTAACGCGGGCATACGACAGGTGGGTGGGGCGGCGTGACGACACGTGACGTCTACGTCAGGTCGACAGGGCTGTGACGTCAGAAATGACGATTAAACATTATGGAATATGATTAGATAAGGAGCTAATTATTTTAATCACAAAACTAAACTAATGAACCGATTTTGATAATTTTTTTATTGAAATTTCTGTAAATATAATATATCCTTTTGGATAACAAAAAAATTTCCAAATTGGTTCAGAACTGACGTAGTTATGAGGTAACAAACATAAAAAATATACAATCGAATTGAGAACATCCTTATTTTTGAAGTCGATTGAAAAATAGAGTTGTTTTTGATGACGCATTTCTAGAGATATTCCATCTAGATATAGAACAAATCTAAGGACGTATCTAACGTTCCTCCGTAGATTATGCTGTGTATAGTAAATAATATGATTAAAAAATATTCCTAAATGCTTTGTAGCAATTAATATTCATTCTTAATTAATAACAGCTATAGTTCATTTTCATGCCTCGACATTTTGACGTTATCCAATAGCCCTATACAAGTAGAAGCCTAGCAATAAATAGGGAAATACCTCTCCGAAGAAAATGATATAAATTAAAATTATTATAGCAAGCTTGAGTTAATTGTTTACCTTAATAGAAAGCTTCGCAGTACACTTTTGTTGACCCGTAATCGGGGTCGAATGGGCACTGAGCAATAGAATGTAAGTAAACTGTAATTATCTTCAAAATGTCTGCTTAGTTTTATATCAACTAGATAGTTATTAAATATGAATGCAATTTATGGCAAAGTTAGTTAGAGGTATAGAACAATTTGCATCACCAATTATTTATATATGGTCGACTTTTACGGATAATTTTATGTTTCAGATAAGTTAATTATTTCTATTTTTAGCTAATACAAAATCGTTATGATTTTTGTACATCTACTTATATATATATGTAAGTTATATCGTATTTTATACCCTATATGGAATTTCTGTTCTCGCTTGTTTTTTGTTATCAGTAAAAAAAATATTAAAAAAATAATTTAAAAGGATATGTTTTAATGTTATTGAATATATATATATATATATATATATATATATATATATCGAAAAAATTAATGTCATTTTATTAAATATAATTTACAATTAGACTATATTGTTGTGATAGTAACATATAATACAAAAATACAAATTAAGTCTAGTTTTTTTTTTTTTTTTTATTAAATTTTACTCAACGGAAAACACTACAATAGTTGGTAACATTTAGAGCTAGGAAACTGTATACACAAGAGGTGCCGCGTCCGCGATTAAAATAATGCCTTGCGGTTACCGTACTGATGAAAATGTCGAAGTAATCTACGTTAAGTATACGCCTGTTTAAAAATAAACGCGTTTGCTTTACTCTGCGGCGACGGATTTGATACTGCGGGACCGCAATTAGCATTCCGTGTGCGCACAGCCTTTCTTTTGTTTCATTTCACTAAACTGACAGTTAAATTTTTGTATTTTTGGAGTGAATAATATTAGTAGTAAGTAATATATATATATAAGAATATTTATATATTTTAATTACAATATCTATATATTGGCCCAATAACGAATATGTTAATTCTCTATGCTATACTCGAACAAACACACAGATAGACAATTCTATCATGATCCCGCCCCCCCCCCCCATATTAATTTTTTTTTATACAACTTAGAATGGCAAACAAGCTGACGGCCCACATGATGGAAAGTGGTAACCGTCGCCTATAGACATGAGCAGTACCATGGTCATAACAGAGTATACTGTTTCGCCCATGATACCCCCCATGCGTTGCCATTCCTGAGGACTCATGTGTTATTCCTGTTAATTCACCCTATACCCTGTAAATTCACGCCTTTTTCTTCAATATCTCCCATGTATAGACATCGTCCAGTTACAAATTTATTTCATTAGTAACATATAAATTTAGAAATATATAACCTTCTTTCTTCATTACACAGATGAAGTAATAGTGTAACCATTATCATCATTGTCAACAGGAGGATCTTCTAATCCACGGTGATAGCGTCTACGACGTGATAGACAAACAAGACCAGCAAGCGGTGAGGACGGAACTGTCCCGAACACCGACTGATGGCGAGGACAGGGTGTTCCTATGTCGGATGAATGTCGCCAGAAATGCTAGGAGGCAGATGCGGTTCGGAGATCAAAAAGTAAGCGTAACTATTATTATTTATGTAATTGAATTTTTAAAAAGTATTTATATCCAAATTAGTCTCATTATCATCATTTTTCTACCCTTATCCTAGTTTTTATTTGGGGTCGGCGTAATATGTATTTCCTCTACCACTCTTTTATTACAAAAAGATTTGGCTTATAATTTTACGACCGGCCGCCTAAGTCTACAGATCTGCATACTGATGATGATGATGATGATGATATGACTGATGAAAATAATCAGAATTGAGGTTAAAATAAATTTATAATAAATTATAATACACAAATATCTTTTGATACGAAATCTTCGTCTGTCGAATGCAGCCGGAAATGCTGGGAGGCAGATGTGGTTTGGAGATCAAAAACAAAATATGGTGATAATTAATGTTACAATTTCTGAACATGTGTATTTTTTTCAACGCACTCTTGATTAATCTATTGGTCTACATGTTGACAACTAAATTGTACAGTAGTTATAAATTATAATCTATTATATATAAATAAAACCCTATTCCTCTTTAAACCTAATCAAGGCCTCACTGCAATTAACAACTCGCTTGTCAAGTGTGGCAACTATTGTATAACTATTATTATAACTATGTAATAAGGGGAGACCTATATTTAGCAATGCACAGTTAACGGCTGATATAATGAGGATATAAATAAGAGATCAATTGCCAAAAGCATATAAATACATCGCTGCAAAACACCTACACCTGTTGTTGTATCTGTAGCCGTACTGACTAGGTTTTTTCTACTACTTCTACTACTATTAATACTCTTATAATTCTTGATATTAATTTTTTTAAACTTAAATTTCGAATATCATTTTAAACATCGAACGTATTTTTACATGCGTTGTATGTAGGAGTGCGGTTATTGTACTGATCGATATCGACATCGATTCGTCATCCGAAAACTGTTTGTCGATTGCATTTATATATTGACCTCCGGTCATGGAATTAAAATTATGTAGATTAACAAAGTAGGCGAGTCACGTCACGCTTTTGGTGGTTTTTATCGTTTATTAACTAGATGTGTTAACGGCTCTATAAAATTAATATATTAACAATTTCACACCAATACAAAGTGTAATATTATTCAGTCTAATTGTATATTCGTTAAGCGATGTTATTATAGATTAAACGTGGTTAATATACTGTTTATCATCTTTAAATTTAAAATTTACACACAATATGCACACACACTCTTATGCTTCTCGCATATTTGCGAATTTGAACCGATGTTTTTCATAATAACTCGATATGTAGCGATTATGTAACATAAATTGTAGAAGAAGCAAGATTTGGTATACAATCCATGAGCAAGATCAACCGACAATGTAGACCTAATTCACCGATTGGCCCTGCTATTTCAGTTAATTAGCTGCTTTTTCACGCGTCTTTACAATCGAAGGATTTACATTAAAAATGGAAGAGAATACATATGTAGGAAGGAAGGTCGTTTCACATTTTAATAGTGCGATATTAAAGTAAGTTTCATAAAAAATACTTTAGTCGTACGTCGATGTATCTATAGTAGATATTAATTTATCTACATGATACTATTAAGCTGCAAACATATTATAAAACAGCATGCTTAAACGATTAGGCGTTATGTTCTAAAAAAAGAAATGTTTTTATTCTAAGATGTAAAACCTGCCGATTTTTAGTTATATCACTATTTTTTTTTATACAACTTAGAATGGCAAACAAGCTGACTGCCCACCTGATGGAAAGTGGTAACCGTCGCCTATAGACATGAGCAGTACCATAGACATAACAGAGTACACTGTTACGCCCATGATACCCCCCATAAGTTGCCATTCCTGAGGACTCAGGTGTTATTCCTCTGTTCCCAGTAAATTCACGCCATATCCCACCCTTCAAACTGAAACACAGCCATACAATCACAACTGCTTCACGGTTGAAACACGAATGGGACAGAGGTACCCAAGCAATCGACTTTTGTACAAAGTCTCCCTCTGGTAAATATTATTAATATGTTTTTGCCAATTTTGAATTACTTCGACATTTATTCAAAAGTTTAATACAATCAAGAAAATCCCGCTCAAATGTCAAGACAATGTTGATCAAGAAAATCAGGCCGCGTGAGTTTTTGATGGAACACCCCCTATTAAATTATATGTATTACGAAAAATTAATAAGGTAAAATCTAACAATATATTTACAAAATTTAATTAAAAGCAGTTGAGCTGTTTCCGAGTTAATGTGAATGAATGTCGTGATACGAAATTTATACATATAAAAATTTTAATTTATCTAGTTATCTTAATTTATCTAATTTATTTTATCCTTTTAATTTAACTAGTTCAGATAATCATTAGTCGTTCATCAATCTAAGGGTTTCGCATGAAATTAATCTACCCAAACAACAGCCACGAAACTGTATTGTAATTTGACATGTTCTCACTAAATGGCCGTTATGAAAATAATTAGGTGTTGCAATTACTTTGAAAGTTAATTAATGGCATTGGAAGCGTCAGTGTTGCCATGAATTGCCAATGAACTATTGATCTTTGCTCCTCAATCTATCGTATTAAAATTGTAACGTCACTCAAGACTACGCAACCCATCTCGGTTATCACAAACGAAATTGATGAGAACATAATTAACAGGTTTACTTTCAAAACTTAAGTGAATTTAAAAGGTGCTTAAGGTGCGGTTCCGATTTTGAACATACGTATACGAATTTTCAATTTGCTGTTACGAATACAATAAAACAGAACTTATGTTTATTCAAATAGACTTATTTACAAGTTTTATTAAACCATCCCTTATTATGATGCCGCTGGTGTGTTCGGAATGTAAATAACTGTAAAAAAAAAATACACTTACAAATTTATAAAAAGAACTCAGCAGTTACTTTTTTAAAATTGTAAGTAAATTTAAAATGTGTGCAAGATAGTTTTATACTTCACTTACCATCAGATGAGCCGCATGCCCGTTTGCCCCCTGTGTTGTAAAAAAAATTTTATTTATCGGTAATTTTATTTTGTATAAATAACAATCATGGTTAAATATGAACAGATAGACAACAAAATGTTTTCTTTTTATCAACCGATTTCAAAAGAAGGAAGTTCTCAGTTCATCTGTATTTTTCAACTCTTCATGCCTCATAATACCGTCAATTTTAAATCGATTTGGAAAACTCTTTTATTATCTTTTTATACTTACAAATTGGTTTTATAGGAAATCTTATAGAAAATCAGCTTAATTATTTAAATTTTAAATCAAAACATAGCCATAGTTTAAATCTGCTTCTTTGTGGAACTTAATTTTAAGTTATTAGCTTGTTATCCTTACTTTTTAAAACGGCTTCCATTATAAACAGGTTAACAGGATTCGTCTGATTTTTTTATATGACTGCGTTAAGAAATTAAGTCGCCTCAATTAATTTTCATTATTATTTTTACAATCCATAGACTTGAACTTCTGTGTCTATTCAATATCAGTTTTGTGATAATAAAAACAAATGAAAAATTGTAATACCTAATGGGATAGTTAGAGCCATTTGTCGACTGTTGTCATTATGGTAAACATAACACTCGATATGCTTACATTTCGCACAGCATATTTAGAGAAGCGAGCTTGCGTTTATTTGGATTGTTTTTTTATTACCTGACATATAGCGAAAAATTTTAAAAAGGATTTTTTTTTTAATTATAAATACCAGCCCTCCCTTGTCAAAACATTGAACTGAAAAGTTTATTCTTTATTGAACTCAAAAAGGTATTATATCAGAATAATAATTAAACAAAATAGTGTACAATAGCGAGCTTATCTGTAAAAGAGATTTCTTCCAATACACTCAATATGAGATAAACTCACAATTTATTATTAATTACAGGTATATATGTGTTAAAAATTAGTTTATTTCTTCGTCTCGCATAAAATAGCCATAGCCATTTATAAGTTGCGCTTACCTGATGGACAAATTAATGGACTTCGACATACTAAAATTAAACGTAATTGAATACACCCGCCCAAGTATATTAACACATACTCGTTTCCTTCTAATTATTTCCTTGTGGTTAATAAAATCTTTGATCAGCACAATCAGGCTTATCTTGATGATATAAAACGGGTTAAGTGTTTATTAAGTGTTATGTTCACACCCGATATGAAGAAATGATTCGTGAGAAAAACTGTAAACTGATATTTTTTGGAGATTAATAATATCTTAATGTGTGAATAGATGATTCTCTAGTTAAGATATGTAAGTACAGGTAGTATAATTGATTGTGTCAATGTAATAAAATTAAATGATAATGTTTTATAAATATAAGATAAAAATCAAATGTTATGCCACTTCTTTAAAAATAGTTTTTTTTTTTCCTGTCTGACTGAATGACTCAGTTACTGATCTTAGAAATTTGATATATTAAATGTAAGTTCTTTATTTATGTAAGTGGGTATGGGTATCTTGTTTTCTCACTGTGATTATTTCTTGTAATTATTTATATTTATAATAAGTTTACTATTGTAATCTTTTGGAGGAAACAATAAAGAGTATCTATCTACAAAAAAAGATTTTCCTAAAATTCCATATTTATATAACTTTTTACTTTCATAGTGTTTTCTTTCATATTTGTATCATATTAGTTCAAAGATTACATAATCGTAATTATAATTTACACACACAATTTTTTTTACCATGTAATTTCGCTGCTATCTTTTCGCCTCAACAGAAAATCAACATTTTGTTCTCTTGAGGGTAAAGCTATAAATTGATTTATGACCATTTTATATTAGTCAATACTATGCACATACACGAAAAAATTTAAGTTATTTGTAATATATTTAATTTTTTTTGTATTTTCTTTTTTTTTTCTCTTTTCTTTTGTATGTCTATCTGTATTTGTTGTCTTTTTTTTTTAAACAAAATGTAAAAATTATAGCGTGTTATTCATCAACTAATATAAATGGTTATACTAGTAAGATTATTCTAAACACCCACACTAAGTGTGAGAGAT